CTTTCCGGGGTGACAAATGACCGCCCACACCTTCCCTTGTCTCATGGTGTAGGATTCTAGGGGGATAGGGTTGTCATGAGTTTCAACATCAACAAGGCAACTTTCATCTGGCCAGTGTATCCCAGAACCTGACTGAGGTGATCTTCTATGGAGCCTTCATGGCGCCACCCCGCGGGGAAGTGGCGCTGGTCTTTGAACGGATGGAGGGCCCGACCTTGGATTTGTTCATCCTGTCAGGCGGGCGGCCCGCAGGGGTCTGCAGGGGGCACAAAAGAATGTCACTGAGCCCACGTCCCAAGCTGAGGATTGGGTCCAGATCAAACCCATTGTGGGCTCTCCAAGCAGCGCCAACACATCGGCATCCTTGGGCTGGGTGAACCAGTCTTCGGCAGAAGTCCTTCACGGGAACGCTGCAACCATACATACGATTTCCTTCCAGGTAGGCTCACCTCATGATCATGTTCACCTCCCCCTAAGTGCTTGGATGGCATGCCGCATCATGCGACGATATTATTAGCAGGTGGGTCACCGGGTCCAAGATTTCTTCCAAAGAACTAAGAGTGGAGCTGGAATTGCTGGTTTCCCTGTGTGGTAACGAGAGCTTCCCAGGCCATCAAGTCCTTGCATATGACCGTATGACTCCACCTGAAGGTCTCTAGTGCGAGTTCGAGTGTTTCCAGACATTTGATGGATAGAAGATGAGCTAGCAGCTAGCCGACAGCCACGATGCAAGAATTTGCAAAAACATGTTGCACTCAAGATAGCCTAAGAGTAAGCCCATGCTTTCTGTACATAGATTCTAAATACGGAAGACAACTGAAATACAGAGATGGACGTGGATCTCAAAACGCAGGTTCTAGCAAAGACGATAACACACTGTACACGCACCAAAATACGATAACATACTACCCCAATCGCCACAATCCTCGAGTGAAACGAGTGTTGCCTCACCACTGATGATGACAACAGGTTTGGGTACAATACGTTCATCAAACATCGCAAGCAGACAGACGCAGGGATGTTGCAAGAATCCACGGTGAGGGTAGCGCGACAATGATGGCCGTGCAAGCTGGACAAGCAATTCATGTTCGAAGAAGATAATGCTGCGTGGGGGCAGAATTCTACCATCGGGTTTCGGATGTGTCGAATTGAAACATACTGGGAAGAGATCAGCCCCAGTATTCCTAGTGCGCGCACACACCCCAAGTCTTGATGTCCTTTGATGTTGTGATACACTTTGACCGTGGCTCGTATCAGAATGGACAGGGGTGTGCCTATAGGTGTGTGCAGTAGTGCAGGATTATTTCCACTATTTATATGACAAGAGAAACCCTCCTCTGCGAAGACAAGCGCTTCCACTGGCTTCCATTCGCTCGCTAAAGGATCTAAAGGGATGTCAGATCATGTTAGAGGATCATTTTCAGCACCTTCCTATTCGGTTTCTGGGAGGGGAAGGCTTGTTGATGGATTTTGGATGATTTTGGGAACATACAATGGGTGTCTCATCGTATTTGTGAAAATCATTCTATCCACCACCCAATACACACAATGTTGGAGACGCGTTTGTCGGATATCCAAGTGCTTTCCGACACCGCTGCACAGGAGAGGTTGCTGATCACTACAAAGCTCGTATGATGTGACTTGCAGCATGAGTAGCAGCGGAGAACTTTGCTTGATCACGATCCTGAGGAAATGCACACATTGTTTGGCAACTGTGTCGAAGAACTGCCATGGTTTTGCGTTGCCAAAGTGTGAGAATCCTTGAAGATGGGACACTGGCTGCATCATGTTTTTGTTCATCCATTGTTGCCCGTCCCACAGGACCCGCAAGATGGAACATTGTGGAACACGTCTCTGCAAGTCTGGAGGGTGGTTTGTTCTTCTCACCCTGTGCATGTGCATCAATGTGGGTGTGTCTCAACGGAAGAGAACTAAGAGAACCCGTAAAATATGGTTCCACATACAGGTGTGTGTCGTCAGACGCACCTTCAATGGAAGATATGAATGAACATGTACTGTACCCCCTTTGAAGGTCTCCTGTGTCATCGAAACCGCCATCTCCGCACAGCGCCAAGGCTTGACATCACCAATGCCCTCTTGTATTTGCACAGCCTTAGGCTATGGCGCTATAGTGCTCGACCCGGGGAGAACGGAATTGGGCTTCGACCAGTTGAGAAGCCCTTGTGACGAGCCTTGCGCGTGGGATTCTTCAGAGTTTTGTAGTGAGTAGCACTGATGCCTCTCATGAGAATGAGGCTCCTGTTCTGAGAAAACTTGATGCTTGTGGATCCCATACCTTTGTAATCCTTCGTAGTTTCGTTTGTGGTTTTCCCAGACTCAGATTGTGAAGATGAATGAAGATGTGCTGCTAGGAGGTGTTTCAAAAGATCCTTTCAACCCATCCTTTCAACCCATGGGTTCTAAATTCTAAAGTGATTTGAGCATATGAGCAATCTTGGAAACCAGCGATAATTAAGTAAAGAGCGATCGCAAAATAAAAAAATGCTGAAACCTGAAAGGCGATAGACCCCCCGGAAAAAAATATAAACATGTTGAATGATTTCCTTGTTGTGAAACCAGCGGATTTGGCAGACGCTCATAATCTGTTCCCATCAAAGAATGAACTCAAGGCAGGCTGCATGTTGCCGACATGCCAACCTTGTAGATTATTTTAGGGCAATGGAGACAAATGCCCAAAATGCAGATGAAAGTGATGGAAGTCTCATCAGACAGTGCCACCCAACCGCTATAAGCTGTGCCAAAAAGGGGACCACCGCTAAAGCTTCTTCTTGACCTGATGAAACCACTGCGTTTCTTGGGCCTGAGGCATTCCGTTACCGTTACTTCTCGTTCGCCAATTGGAGGCCTCAAATCGTTCATGGCGACGTCAAGCCGGGCAACGTCTTCGTGGAGTGTCGCGAGGCACGCCAAGTGAACCGTCGCTTGGTGTTGACTAAGAGCAGACCATCGCGAAGGACTGAAACCCAACCCACCTGCCACGCCATGTTCACACTCTTTGGATAGGGGCAGATGCAGACCAAGCTGGCCGACTTCGGGTTGGCACGGCGGATCACATTCTCTGCCAGCACCATGGGAGGCAGCTCGTGCAGACTCGCAGTGATGCGCAGTGTTTTGTGGTGGTTGCAGCAGTGCCTCAGGGGTTAGGGCTCCTTTTGCTGTGTCTGTATGAGGGGTAAGGCTGTAAGGCTGAGGTTTGGGTGTGAGAATAAGGTTAAAGGATGATTGAAGGATGTGTTCTCTACCAGAGCCCTACACCAGAAGGATCCAGAAGGTTACTTCTCCGGTTTTCTCAGAATTGGCCAGGGACCCTTCGCTGGGCAGCTCCGGAGCTCTTGCACGGTGCACGCGGGCCCTCGCCGCTTGGACGCATGTTGCTTCTCCAGCAAGCACCGGGAACTGCTTTGGGGGTTTGGCGGATCTTTAATCCCTTCCCACAACAAGGAGGAAAGAGACATTCATTTGTAGCCATTCTAGATACTAGTAATTAGCATGAACTGCCTGCACCACCTGCGCCAGCAAGGGAATCTACTTACGATGTTCTGCTACGTATTATACCCGAACACCCGCCGACATGGTGATCATTTATACACCTATAATAGGTCCTCCCCGCTCCAATCCCGTGTTCCAAGTGCAATGACAGCCGCTTGGTGCATATTGTGCTCTGTACGCTGCATATCTCAGCATTCTAACATCAAGGCACAACAAAAGCACGGTGGCCAAGGACCAGCGCCGACATCTATAGCCTTGGGCAACTGATGTACTTTATCCTTTCAGCTCGTCGGCCCTACACAGGCACAGGAACCTGATGTCAAGTTTGCGTTGTTCCGTGCTGCTCCCAATTTTGGAAAGGCTGGTCCCACTTTCCAAACCATTCCAAACCGAAATGAGAAGATTTGGGGGTTGAGGTGAGTTGAGGTGAGGGGATTGACTCATCCTGGGAGGCCTCACACAAAGCCAGTGTCATACAGCGATTACTCAAGGCAGGGTGCCTCAGGTCGTTTTGCCGAAACTAGTAGTAAGGCCAGGAGATGCCAAGAGCCCTTTGCTCCTAGTACCAGACCTTGTTTCCCTTTTCGGAGAGCAAGTTATGTTGTGATGGTTCGAGTGGTGTTTGCTCACTTGAACGGCTTGTTCAATAGCATCCTCAAAAAGTTTAAATGTGCACTGTGGTTTCCCACTTCCAGATACTTAGTTACTTGATGTTACTTGTTGCATTGACATGCATTGACCGCTTACACGCGAGCTGCCGAGCTCTTTTGATAGGCCTATTGACAGCGCTCCAAGTCTATTTTCCTAGATTGATCTGCGAACTTTTCTGTTGCTTTGTACGACAAAAATCGGTGCTAGTCGGGTTTGAAGGTGATCAACAGGTCTGGAGATGGTCCATACAAAATGCATAATAACGATATCTAAAGAGGCAGTGGCAGTCCCTGCTGGGAAATGTGCCAAATCAAGCCAGAGAAGCGCCATGGCGCCATGCTGTTTTATTGCATGATTAAAAAGATGTGGGCATGTATTTGAGCAAGGAGACCCCAACACCTGACGGTCAAAGGAAGACTTGACAACCAAACCAACCATTGTTTTTGTGTTGCGAGTAAAAACACAGGTTCTCAGTCTTCCAAACACTACAAAAACCTTGTCCATGTGACGATCCTGAAACCCTTTCTCGGCATTGAGGCTGGGACCCAACCGAGAAATGGCCCCAAGGCTGAGAGAACTGGGTCCCAGGTAGAGACTGGCCACCCAGCGGAAGAGTGACCACACGGTTCGTATCAGGAGATGTTTGGCGCTGAAAGTGTCAGGTGGTGGACAAGGAACTATTAGGAACTTGTTTAGGATGTCAACAGGATGAGTGCTTGTTGCGGTTTCGGCTACCGCAAGAGGGTTATGTAGACTCAATATGACTCAATTCAACTATGTCCAACTCTGCTATGCTAGGATGTTCATGAACCTGGCATGCTTTCGACAGACTTTGGTTGCACTTTTGCTTGAGCCGCCTGCTATTCACCACCTTTGTATGATGGCTTACTTGTTTGCTTACTCCGGTCACAGGGCCTCTTACACTCATGTTATACTCTTCTTGTTTGAACTGGCTTTTCCAGGTGGCATGTGTTTCTTGCTGAAGCCGGTCATCGACCACTGCCGTCGCCACGAGCCGCTGGAACGGCCCAAAGCCGGAGACGTGGCACCTCGGCAGAACGTGTGGTGTCGTAGATAGAATATGTTGTTTTTACTATTTGGTTATTTTACTTGTTTTTGGTATGTGTTTTTAATGTCCGGGGGTGTAGGCCGCTAGTGGCTAGGAGTAGCTAGTAGCTAGGTAGCTACTACCTACAAGTAAGCTACTACCGACTGGACGTAGGATAGCCCGCGCTAATGATTTGGTTCCTAGATTTTTGGGGAAGCTTAAGATAGTAGCTGTATATACTTACCTCACTACTTACCTCACTTACATCGGGTGATTCATCGACGGCTCAAAGGGTCTCATAGTACTAGATGAGCGGCCTTGATGTTGATAGAACCTATTTGGGGGTCGATTTTGGTGCTTACTTAGATGGATCATGATGGATCAACACTATGACACACTATGAACATTATTGGAGCAAACTAGGAGCAAGAAGGCTACTAGGAGCAAGGGCATCGCTACTAGTGGCTTCTGGCCTTACTATTAGGAGCAAGGACGCTACTAGGGGCTCCTGGCATCGCTACTAGGAGCATGGGACCAAGCAGCCACGCCCAGGCCGAAGTCCTTGAGAACTTTGTGCAGCCAGGCGATGCGGCGGCCATGCGGCCCGGGCTTCACGGCCAAACAGGCCCCCCCAAAAAAAGAATCGTTAGTAAACTCTTGAAGTGATTTTGGGTGTCCATGTAGTCGACCCCCTGTGTATCGAGGTAGATCCGCCAGGTGCATGGCTGACATTGTATAGGTCCGGATGTTCAACCAATTTGCACCAAAATGAATTGGATCAATCTGAATTGGTTCAGATTGGTCAAGGTCAGGTCAGCAAACATGCTCCTTTTTCCCATGCATGATACTTACTTTTCACCAGGCTTTGTTTCAGGCCTGTGTGGCAGATGCTTCAACAGCTGTGAGTGCGAGGTGCAAGGCAAGCAAGTGCTTCTGTAGAAGAGATATTCACACAATTCCATGGCTGCAGGAATGTACCAGCAACATGCCCACCCAAGCTTTACCCAAGGACTTTTTTTAGGTCTTGTGAAGTTCTATTTTTCAGAAGAGTACATAGAATGTAGACTTGGGCCCTTTGATGAGGCCCCCTAAAAGAAGACTTTGTGTGATTATTCATAGTATTTTTGTATTTTATAGATTTAAAACATAGTAATTAGATACAGATGCAGATTTCTCTGGTCCAAGCAGGGAACTGTTTGTTCTCCACGGCCTTACCAGGCGACCGAGCACAGAGCACTCAGATCGACGTGTTCACTCCGAATCTGCCAGGGCGCCCACCATGTTTGGGACCGTCGGATCAGCGGGGGTGCCACTGCATGTTCCAATGCCTTAGTTGAGTGCAGGTCTTTAGTATGAAGAAACATACTGGCATAACTTGAGGTTCCTGATGCATCAATCCTTGCATCCAGTTGGAGGTAAGAGCTCAATCACGTGAAAGTTGAGGAGAGTGTCACATTGTGTAGTACAAGCCTAGTACAAGCCAGATCTCGTAGCAGGGACCACATTGGTTGCGCTTCAGACTCCCCACAGATGATTGGAGAGTCAGCGCAAATATGAGGTACTTTGAATTGAAATGCGCAAGTCCCTTAGGCGAAGATCCTCATTATATATATATATATAGATATTTATGACCTGGACTAGAGCTAACTCTAATGAATCACAAGAAAAATCATACAAAAACGTATAAAAACATTACAAACATAATGCAACAACAAATACACAAATCATACAAAGAAGTAGGGCACACAGTTCACGATGAGCATGAACACTAGGTTGCTGCCTGACACCAAGAAGCCTCGCAAGAGAAGAATGCCCTAAACAGGAGCCCTTTTATACCACAAACCTTTAGAAGCCTTCAGCCGTTTTCACATTAAATGAAACTTGTGCTAGGTCGTTTGTACTTCAATGCTGTTGGCATCCACTGTCGAAGACAAGAGTTTCAAACAAGAGCAGGACGCCTGTGTCAAGCCATACTCTGTAAGATTAAAATCCACGCACAGCATATGAAGGATTCTTGTTCTTCCTCTTGAGCAAATATTCAAAAGCGGTCCGCAAGACCTCGTTTGTCTTTTGTGCTGGGGTTCCCCGAGGGTATTTGCGCTCCTATGTTGTCCAATTATTGTTGTTGTTTTTATATGTTCTATTTTGTTTTGTATTGTGTTTCTATTGTTTTCAATGCTTGTCTTCGTTTTGTCTTCCTATTGTTTTCGTATTTTGAGGATCTTTGGACAGCAAAGCGGACCAGAAAAGAAAGCCCCTGTTCCTTAAAGGGCCTGCTCAGAGGACTCTTTGGTCTTGCGATGACCACCTCTTCAGCTCCCTGCCCAGCTGTTCCTTGCGGCTCAGAGTGGTTAGAAGTCCCCACATGGAGATGACTTGATGCCGAACACACATCTACAGTAGCTGCAGCTTCTGACTTGTGTATATTTTCCTACACACCCCAAGGGGAAGTTGTGATTGGACCCAGATAGTTTTAAATTAGACACCCCCTTATCACCAATTAGCATCCCTACTTCGGCATCATCACCCATCATGTGAGGCGTCCGCAGACGCTTCCTGGCTTTAATATGCGGGGTGGCCCAGCTTTCGCAAGAACTTGGGTACACAACTGGGGGGCCGCTCAGCAACAAGTTGCTGATGTCCAAGCGGATCCAGAAGTTTGTGGAGTGTGGGAACTTAGTATGTGTGCGTGAAAGTGGAGTCCTGGGATCCATTGGGCAACTCCCCAATCTTGACATCAAAGAGACTTGGCTACCTCAAGGATAGATAGAGAATTGACAGTGGGAATATGTTGTTTTTACCTGTGCCATCGCGGCATCAAAATCTGGAGGGGCGTGAGTGCGGGGCTTTATCACCAAGTGATTACACCAAACAATTGTGGCTATGAGCTCATCATATCTCATGGTACATCATTTTGTTCTCTCCAGTTATCGTCTGGCCCATTTGGTGAAGTTCTCTTCCTGGGAACCCTGTTGTAGACGATGGTGTGTTTGTTGCCCCAGATGTTCAAGGGTGATTTGCACACCAGTAATGAATTGACCCCGTAAGGGGCGTTGGTGCTTATCAACGAATCACACCGTGAAGCTACGTAGATGACTGGGCCAGGGAGCTGAACCAACATGATAAGCTAAGTGTTCAAACGAGAGGTTGTCACTGTACTAATCAATAAAGCATAATAAAGCTATATACAATTGACGTAACCCCACTGATTTGGCTGTTTGTCTCGAGAGCTCTGATTCTTTGCCACAATTGGATCTAAATGGGCTTTGCCTTATGACATCCCCCGCCCGTGTTGGGTACCCTGTACAAAACAACTGTGTTTCTTGGGAAACTTTTGTCTACCTGGACACCCCGCACTGGCCCGCACTCCATACCAGCTATCCATGTGTCTTTAAAGCCTTCAACCAGGCGACGTCTGAATTCATGGAGAAGGCCATTTCACCTGATCCAAGAGGGGTGAGAACTTTGATCCGTTGTTGAGCCTGTTTGGCACAGGGACAGTGACATGGAAGAGGAGGAGGAATTGGATGACGATACTAAGCTTTGCCAAGTCGTGAACCCAGTCAGTCAATTCGAGGGCGGGCCTGGAGGAAACGTCCATCAAGTAAGAACGAGAATTGATTCGGAAGCACTTTACGGTTTACAGCAACAAGTGGACTTCTCCTTGGTGTTCTTCTCACTGATTCAGCTGCTTTTGTGTATGCGCTTACTGTACTCGTAAATATTTATTTGTGGTATTGTTTTCCTTTCCAACACCCCAGTTGGCAACGGAGGTAACGTGCTGAGCTCGAACCGTTTCTACTTCCATCCTTGCTGGTGGTCTATCAGGTGAATTTGTCCTGCGGTGTTGTCAGGGTCCTGCTGCTGTTAATGTTGTGTCTTAAATAGTAAAACCCGTCCCCCTCCTAGCAAACAATCAAGAGAGTATGAATAGAACGGAATAGAATCCCCGCCACAAAAACCATCTTCTTAGCAGTAGTAGAATTAGAGAGTAGTATCAGTAGTAGTGCTAGTAGTACTAGTAGCAGTAGTAGTACTAGTAGTACTAGTAGCGGTAGTAATGGCAATAAGTGGTAGTGGTAGTCGTAGTCGTAGTCGTAGTCGTAGTAGTAGTAGTAGTAGTAGTAGTAGTAGTAGCTAGTACTAGTACTAGTAGTAGTAGTACTAGTAGTCGTAGTAGTAGTAGTAGTAGTAGTAGTACTAGTAGTACTAGTAGTACTAGTAGCGGTAGTAGTGGCAATAAGTCGTAGTGGTAGTAGTAGTAGTAGTACTAGTAGTAGTGCAATCAGAGTTAAGTAAGGATTTGAAAGGGCAGCAATAGCAGAAAAATAGAGTTATTTTCCCTTAGGGCTCCACGTTTGCCTATTGATCCCACCCCCTACACAATTGATATGATTCACTTCCCCTGGGCTTGTGCACTACCCCGTGAAAAATTGTTTGGAGCAATGAAATCGTTGAGTTTCAATAAGCGTTTTGGAAAACGATTTCCAGGTCGGAATTCCATGAATCAAGCAAACCTCAGAAGAGTTAGGTAAGGATGTTAAACAGGGAGCAATAGCAGAACCGTGGAAAAGTAAACAAAACCTTCAAATAACCCTTGGTGAAAGAACCTTTTGTTGTTCCCTCCCACTAAACTATTCAGGGTGTTGGAACAATTTGGCGAAAACTCTTTATTTTTCCCTCCCACTTGACTAATTAGGATCCGACATTATCAGTTCTGGTGAGCCAATTTGTTGATGGACCAGCGGTTTTACAACCAGGGGCCCGATTTAGAGCCTTGTTGCAATGGCTTCTGTATCATAAAGCTTACTGATCACAACAAAAAGAGGGATACAAGCCACCCTGCAACCTGCCAGTGTAAAGAACGATCCTTCATCCTTGGAATGGGACGGGTGCTTTTAGATTCCATCGCATAGCAGTGAACATGCTGAGAAGTGCAGGGTTCGACCTCGGAAAAGCAAACCCATTCAGCCAGATCGCCAAGCTGGTATATAGACTATGAAACAATGAAACTGGGGGCATACCACTCTTCCACAAAAGATGTCCGGAAAACCTGGATAGGCGGCCAGATCGTTCCGTTTAGATCTTGTTTTCCTGTGAGTTAGACTTGGATTAGCTTGAACATGTAGGGTTGGTATATAATTGCAAGTTTATAGTAGCTATATACTATAGATAGACTATAGACATAGACCATCGAGGTCTTTTTCGCTGGAGGGAACGGTTGAACCTCCATGTCCATGTCAGTTTAATGAACAACAGAGATGGCAGGCTCACCGCATTATACTTACACGCTTTGGATTGTACTCACAATGGCTCTATAGATAATCAGCTTGCGGAGCGTGCCATTTGGGTCAAGGTTTGGTTTCCCCACCTTTTTTCTCTCCCAATGCCCTCCACACTTGGCACGTTTAATTTTGGATGGCTTTGTTTGGATGCCATGCTGCCGCCGATCAGATTGACTGAGGCCTTTGATTGTGCCAGAATGGTAGTGATGCAACAACTCCGAACGTGAGGTAGTCTTCAGAGTAGAAGAAACCAACGAACAGTTTTACAACATTTTCCTTCGTTGGTGGAGCCAATGAGAGCATGTGCGCCCGGGTGAGATAGCGATGTCATCGAAATACACATGTACACAGAGACTGTCATTTGATGTCTCTTGGGTCACTTTGCAAAGGAACAGTAATGTTTAGATGGCTTTGGTACATGTTCCCATGATGTCCCTTGAGTATGTCACAGGGGGACACCTGTCACATCGTATGACCATCGTGACCCATGTTCGTACGGACTGCGATGATCTCAGCCATTGAGATGCTTTTACAGCAACTCCTTTGCCAATATGGCCGGGTGATCGTTTGCTTCGATGTGCTTTGTTATTTGTTTGGATGTGCACTCAAGCAGAACTCTCAAAAGCCCTTGTGGATGCGTTTTTTTCCAGACAGCCAACCCTATGTTTGATGCAACATCAAGATGTTGCTGTAAAGTAGGGGTTCTGTTGGGCACCAAGCACGCCAACAGGGTACCAAGCAAAGATGTGCAGCATCGTAAGGTAATGTGTTCTGGTCAGGCACCATACAAAACTTGGGCTGTAGAGCTCGTGGGGACCGAACTGAATCGCCGAATAATAGCAATGGCCTTCAAGCAATGGCCCCCCAAACTAGAAGCAATGAAATGGAGATCAAATTGTAAAAGACATGTTTTCCATCGAGGCATCCAAATCCAACATAACCTTACCATCGCCACATGTCCTTTTCATTGGATCCCCCATGTCGGCTTTGTCAAAAACATCAATACTATCATGGCATGGTAACTCGTTTGTTGACACCAAGTTACTAAGTTGCTGCAAGAACCAAGATCGCAAGCATAGGAAACAGAAAGAGCAACGCAGGAAGTAGAAGATAGTAGACAGAGAGAGAGGGAACCCCACATCAAAGCACTCTTCACTTAGACTTGCTTCGAGTCTTTGTTCAGCTTTCCCCCCTTCCTTTGGAGAACCTGTAGACATCCTTCAACATCGGATGGAACGCTGTTCCGCACAACCCGGATGAGAGAGTATCAGCTCCATCTTGAGATGTCACCGCGAAGGTTTTCCCGTTCGATAAAGTCGCTGAAAAGGGCCGTTGTCGCAGGTCCATTCCTGAACAAGAGTTCCTGTGTACTAACAAGAAGCTACTAGGGGCTCCTGGCCTTACTACTAGGAGCAAAGACGCGACTAGGGGCTCCTGGCATCGCTACTAGGAGCAAGGAGCTACTAGGGGCTCCTGGCCTTTGACATTCAAAGGATGCCGGTTTTCAACATCGCCTGGGTCGTTCCCCCACCGATCACCTGGCCGCGTCCTAACAAATCGGCCAAAACCGTGGGACGCAACGTTGAGGGGACGTGAGTGCCGTGCGGCAGCACTCGACATGCCAGCGGCACCGTGGCATTGGTCGACCGGGGCCCGAAAGGGGACTCGGTGCGAAGGTTTTTTTTGGCCAGTAGAGAGAAGAGATGGAGATCTGGGATCTCTCAGGAAAAAAAGGTCACAATATGAGTTTCTTGAGCAAAGAACCAGAGTGGGACCGCAGTTGCGGCAAGCGGCAAGTGTATTTGGTTATCGTACTGCCACATCTATTTTGCTTGTGTGCGTATGTTGGAGGGCGGATTGGAGTCTTATATAGCTTGGGAGAAAGAAAACACATCCATGAAAACAGTGAAATATTATCATCAGTGCTTATTTAAGAATGAAGCAAGACCAGCACTCTCTTCGCGCCAAGAATCACACTTCTCATGATCACTGCACTTTTGTGCTAGTATAATTGCAAGTCAAGCAGCTCCGGTCACGTAGCCCTCAAAACGAACATGTGATATCTTTTTCCGCTAGCCGTTAAAGTTTGTTTTTGCCTTTCAAGTTGCTTGGAAGTACCCTGAAGTGCTTGGTGGGGCATGTTTTGAAACTGCATCCCCAGACATCCTCATATCCAAGTGCATCATTAGGTTTGTCAATTGGCGCTCATGGGAGCTCGAACTTTCCTGCGAGATCCAAAGCGTTTGATAAGGGAGCTGATGTTTCGGTGGATCCACATCATTCCCGATTACTCGTTTCTTGAATCTGGCCACCAGTCTGGAGCCTTTCTTGAACCAGAAGGTCGGTAGAAACAGATGAACATCCGTTGTACCTCGTTGAGTGAAAGCCACGGAGTTTGTTACTGGATGTAGTTGCCCACCGCAGGCTACCACCATTGGTTTGCCTCGATCAAGAGCGCTCAAGAGCGCTCAAGGGCTTTCACAGACAACACAAATGCAGAGCAGTTCCTGTGAACATCCAGCAGCTCTTAATTACACTTCATCAAAGTGCAACGGCCCAACCATCGGCAAGGTCTTACAATTATAAAGGGTGTCTCTTTTTTAATGTTGTTTGGTGTCTTTTGGGCTCAAACATGGGAGCTTCATGGAGCCCCCACTTTCGGTCGCAGCCGTCAGAAGTCCAGGAACGAATCCGACCATTGTTCGTCGGTGAGTCCAACATCTCCACTCACACGTCCGTTTAGTTTGATCCAGCATTGTATTGTATATAGTCGATATATATATATAGCTATTAGTATAGCTATTGATTGTTTGTCATACAAGTTTCGTGGGCCAAAACCACAGCAATGAACATATTTCAGAAAATACCCGAGGTAGATACGGTAGATATAGTCAACTTGTCAACTTGTTCACCTCCCATGAACATGGTACTAATACTTTTCTTCCAAATGTCATAGTGGATTTGTTTGAAAATGGTTCCCAACCAGTGAGTTTTTGTATGTTTTAGGACGGTTCCGGGACGGTTCCCTGGGGCTCCGAGACATGACAAGCGTTACACAGTTTTGGGACTGTGTCAAAGATGTCAAAGAGTTTCTGAAACAGTTTACTAGTGCCTATTAGGCAAACTCAGTACTGGGCTCGGATATTTGCACATCTACAGTAGTCCGGCGTCCGGGCATCAAACGGAGGAGATGCCTCACCCAGACTGGAGGGGTTTCAGTTCGCATAGAGCGGTATATAATAGCTTTGCTACGGGCTTTGCTATGGACTGCCTCGTTTTCCCTGCGTGCTTCGGGCGAGCGCGCAGCGCTTCAAGCAATTGGTCAAGAGGTCCTGAGATCTTACCGGTTGTTGGAAGTATATAAGATTTTGGAACGCCTTGACGCGCAGAAGGTGTTTTCGAAATTTCAGACCCTCTTATGTGGGTTGTTTCGTGTGGCAATACAGCATTGGCTTCTGAACTTGATTGTGTTTCGGGCATGCCGCACCAGCAGCCAGTGGAGCCTCACTTTGAAAAATTGGTATACGCCCCAATAGGTTACAGTAGATGTTGCCCCCATCTTGATCATCTTGCAACAGTGATGGTCAGTAAGGGACTTTAGTCAAGTAACCCTATGGCCTTTATCAGTGCAGAAACGAATAACTTGGCTTAGAGTGGCCATGCCCTGCAATCAATTGAACATTCTCGAAACTCAGAGCAGATCACTGGCTTGTTTTGTTTCCTCTTTTTGACGGGTTTAATGATGGTTGATGTAAATATGCATGTTGTTGTGTTTGTCCACCGGACCGTCCACCAAATCTCAGTTTTGTGAGGTTCAACAGATTCTATGCTGTTTGCCCAATGAACACCCAAAGCATGATTGGGCATCAGGGCGGCGTCGAGTGATAGGACTCGACTGGACGCCTTTTGATGCCTGTGGATTGCTTTGACATTGTCACAGTAATTCATTTCATGGCGGCGCTCTTTTCCAGTCTCGTTCTTAGCAACGAGTTCTCCTTAGGTTCCGAGCAGCTGCAGCTGCATTTGGCCAAGTTGGATTTCAATATAACTGTAAGCTGTGCAAACCCCCAAAGCAGGGCAGGATGGGGGTTTTCAGACCAAGCAGACGTTTGCATTGGGGTAGTGACACCATGGGGCACTCCAGCCACCACTCCCCATTTGTTGGTCTTGCGGCTTGTGTTACACAATGAGCAGCTTCACTGTCCCTGATATTTTTGGGCTGTGCTGCAGTGGACGAACCACCGGCGATTCCCCTCATGCTGTGCTGAACCACTGGTGGACAGCATGAGGATTTCTTGTTCAGACTTTGTGGTGGTTCAAGGCGACCACAGAGGATTAGCTCTTAGTGAAGTTTGCAGACATCTTCACATTTAAAGTGCCCCACCTGTGGAACTTTCGCAAGTCCGATGATTTGGTGTGCACTTCTTTGCAAGACCAAAAGTTTGGGAACTACGTTTGAAGATTGATTGGCGCACTGTTGTTGTTCGGATCCAAAACACCTGCTTCGAGATGCTTCGAGGTTAGTTGTGTTTTGTTGCTACCCTCACTATAGGTGGAACAAGAGGGTTTGCACTTAACAAAACCAGGTTTTCTTTGGGTTGAGGTGAGTCAGTCAATCTGAGAGAAAGCGTTTTAGCATACACATTTGTCATGGTTGCCATGTAGTATTCGAGAGGTTTTGATTGTCATCATACGGAAAGAACAAGAATGCTTTGCCTTGTTCACCAATCACCAATTTGCTCACGGTATCGATGCCCCTGAACAGGACGTTTTCGCTTTTGTCAGCACGCCACACTTTTCGCTGGTGCCTTTGAGTTTGCCCAGCTCAGATGTTTCGGGATCTTGGATTTATGGCATGTCGATTTCGCACAGGAGAAACTGGAGTCTCGCTTGCGCTTGGCGATCCAGCTGCTTGGCTTACTTAATGCGGTGCCAATAGAAATGTTAGTGGCACAGCAACATTGTTGATTTGGTCCCTTGTATATACTTATGTATACCAACCGTCAAAGTTTATGTCAAGTTGACAATGAAATGGCTGAATGTATCACTTTCTTTGGCTACCCTTTCCTCAGCATTCGGCATAGGTAATACAAAACTGCATGTGTGATGTTTATGAACATGTAACATGACCCTGCTAAACTCATACTTGCAAAGCAAATTCTTGGCTACATTACAAACAGAGTCCTGTTTGATAATTGTTTTGTGTTTGATAAGTTTGTCGAAAATTCATTGTGAGCTTAATGCAGCCCGCTATTTCTCGATCAGCCAGTCGGCCGGCCGGCCGGAAGGCCAACAACCACAGCCCCAGCCTGGCAAGCCAAAAACCACAGCTGAGCCGTAGCTACACAGCCCGCCTCGGCCGGCCTGCCCCCACCTTTCTCGTGACTACCCTA